CCATAATTTTTAACAAAAAGTGAGGAATTTGGCAAACCGCTCCAAAAGATCAGCAATGTTTACCACTTTTATATTGGAAAACTCTACATAATGACAAACAACATGTGTAAAATAGATAGTGTCAGTGAATTTAGTAACTGAATAAGTGTTCAGAAAAATACCTTATGTGTTGTGTTGTTGAGAATATATAAATATATGATATTGTCAATAAACAGATCATGTAGAGGGTTCAAAATTTTTATACTTTCAGATGAAGATATGGATTTAACTAAAAGAGTAAAGCAAAGTAAAAAGAGATATACAGATATCCTCTAGTTACCTATATATAATTTTTAGTCTCTAGTACAAGTTATAATGCATTTTATTTTATTTTAAATTTCTTGTCAAGACTCTTGCACTTAATAGTAGATTGTTACTCTGTATAATCAGAAGTTTTTGCCTAGTTAGCAGGTTTTCTTCTTTTAGCGATAGTTTCTTTTAGATTTTAGTTTAGTTTTTTTATATTCCTTAGTATTAGTATTTGTTTTCTTTGATATATTAGTTTTTATTATATACCACTTTTTTCATTCTCTATTATCACTTTTTTTTTTTTTCTTTCTCTACAAGAAAGTATTATTAGTTTAGCAGTATTCTATTGTAGAGTGAAAATCTTGACAGGGCAGCGCAACAACTAGCTAAAGAATCTAGAAAAGTTCTGGATCTCTAGAGGAGGCTAATCATTTACTAGACAGATTGCATCTGAGCAAAACACAATGGTTTAATAGTTCACCCTAACTGCAAGTAGGTGTTTCAGTATCTGCAAGTACTAGTCAAACTAAGAAATTTCAGATATATTACAAATCAGATAAATTTCAACTAATTAATAATAAATTTCGGCTAAATTTCAACCTAATTTCAGAATTTAATATCAATTAATAGTAAATCAGATATCCAATTTTCGGGTTTTTTTTTTATTAATTTTTGTTAAATTATTTTTTTTAATTTATTATAAAGTTATAAAAAATATAGTAATATTAATTATAAAATATAAGAATGCTTATAGCAAAAAGAGGGATGGGACTATATAATATATAGTTCCATCACCCCTTTTGCTGTGGGCATTCCTATATATAGTTGTTATTTAAAATAATAAATATACAAATTTAAAATTTTGATTAGATAGAGAAAGATATATATATTATACAGTATATTGTTTATTGATTCTTGTAAGTTTATTTTTTTTTAAAAAATATAACTAGCAAATTTAGCAAGATTTGGCATAAACTAATTAAATATGTAAATCGTATATTGTAATCGAATTTTTGAAATTTATTCAATAATATTTATAGAATTTGTAATTTACCACTATAGCAATATATCGCAATCTGATATACCAAGTAGAATATAAGATAGGTGTAATATGAAATAGAAGCGCCTATAATTTTTTTCAAAAATTGATTATAATGTGAAATTTTTCTTATAAAACTATTATGCATCATAATAAAAAAATTTTTTACCAAATTTTGTGTTAAAACCTCCTTATTGCTTTGCACTACCTCTAATTTAACTTTAATCTGACCTTAAACTAACAGATTATAATTTATTAACTTCATGTTGCATCAGGGTTTACAGCGGTAAGTTACTAAATCCTTTATGCAATTCCTTTTGTTATAAGAATATTGTAAGTTTTTAACAAAATATATATAAATCTATTAACTCATTATTGTTTATTGTTGAATTTGATATTTATAAAAATTTCTAATTTTATAGTGACTTTCTCTTTGCACCTCAGCATATATTCTTTATTCAAAAGAATAATATAATGAACAATTCTATGATTTGCTAATTGCCCAGATAACTTATTTATACACTTTAAAGTACCTTTTGATAATATAATATTTCATAACAAAAAACTATTGTAAATATCACCAATATTTGTAAAAGAGTATTAATGTTCACTATGTAAAAATAATCAAGAATTTAGTAAACTTCACTTAGAAACAAATATTTTATTAAAATACATTTGAGCTAGTTGAAATAGGTCAACCAAAGAAGACCGAAAAAATAATTAAGGCGTAAGGCAATCAAGATGTAAAATTTAATAAAAACCCTTTATAGCCGTTTAATTTATTATGTTAAGAGTAGATCTTAATACTTTTTATGTCTCAAATATTAGAATTTATAGGAATTAGTTCATTAGATCTGACAGCATACAAGCGTGTTGATCAATAAATTAGTACTCTTGAATTGTAATAGTTAGATTAATTTTTAAATTTGGGTTTGTTCTTTAGTTTGGTTAAATATGTCAACTATAAATTAAACTTTAATTATTTTTTGTAGATTTTTTAATAAGTTCAGGTTAATTAATAAAAATCCTATTTATTTTTAAAATACACTATTTATTTGTTAATTTTGAAACTTCTTATTCTATTCAAATCTTTATTTAGCAGAATAAAAATTTATTTAGACTGTGATTTTTTAGATAAGTTATCTTATCAGCTTGACTAAATTGACTTTAAAATGTTTAGCAGTGACGAAATTTTCAAATAAAAGCATAATTGAATGAATTTTGGCTTAAAAGAATATATACAAGCAGCATAATATATAATATTCAAAGAAATTTAAGTTTGCAGATATTCAGTTTGTAGAATATAATTAGTGAATATGATATTTTCTACTAATAGGATTAACTGCCAAATATTCTAATGCATTTTGACGATCTAAAACTTTATATTTTACTGAAACAAATTGACCAAGAATATGATGTACTGGTATAATATAATCACCTGATTTTGGATAGAATTCAGTACTCTATAGTTCAATGTTACAAATTCTATTACTTCTAAAATGATATCGAAACTTAGAATTTTGATACCACCAAATAAATACTAAAAAATGCTCACTAAAACCACTTGGTAGCTGAACTGTATGTTTAAAAACATATTAGATTTGGCCAGGATAGCAATCGACATTATTATCATCCATTATAAATTTAGTTAAAACAAATAAACTATTTATATAGCAAGGTGATATTGTGGAACCAAATATTTCCGAACCAATTCTGCATCTTCCAAATTGGTTCATTTTAATATTAATTATTATCGAATTGTCAGGTCCGTCTTCAAATGGTCTCCAAAAATTATATATCTCATATGTGGCTATATAATATTTAACCATAAGATCGATCATTTTATTTGATATTATAATATTAATAGACGAAGGTCCTAGTAATTCACCTGGAAATGCTTCACGTCCAGTAATTGAAGATTCTTTAATGTTTTGTGAATATAGCAAATATCTATACATTTCAGCAGATATAAATGTATTATTCTCTAAAAGTGATCTGATTGAAGGTCTTTTATTAACAAATTTAAGACATTTTACTTCCAAAGAGCCTACAATATCTTCAATTCGATTGTTATTCATAAGCCGATGCATGAGCTCTGTCTCAATTTGCCAATGGCTGTTTGGCAAAGAACCTGAGAAAATAAATGAAAATTTATTAGAATATAGTAATAATAATAGATATTAAACAAAAATATATACTGAACATAAATTTAACTATACACACCTAATATGCTATTTGCACGCTCGAACAAAAAGCACCAAAAAATATATAAGGGTCTGAAGTCTTGTAAACATTCTTGCAAATGAATTGAAAGGTGTAGATTTAGTATAATCTTATCTCGACCATAGTGCTTTTCAATCAATTTTATAATTGTGATTAAACTTTGGTGAGCTTCTTCTATAGAACTAGTTTCAATGATCTGGTTTACTAAAATAGAGCAAACTTTTACAAAATGGTTAAGAATCTTTTTGTCTATAGCTGAAAGATGATCTCAAAGTGATACAGTAGCATAGATAGTGATGAATATTCTCTACTGATCTGTAGTAAAGTAGGAAAAATCTTCACCACAATCTACTTTTCGTGAAATTCACTCTATATCCATTGGTAGTTTAAATTAATTTATTGTTTTTTGAATTATTTTTAAAGAATGTGCGGTTAATATTCCCCCATCAACCTAAATTCATTTTATTATCAACTTTGCAATGCCTAAAAATAGGCAATGTATAGGGTCAATAATAGTAAACCAAATTGGATTGAAATATGGTAAGCACAATAACTCGGACTATCTCACACCAAAATTCTTAACAAATCTTTTTCTTGCAGCATTTGAATTACAACTTCACCACCCAAATGCATCCTCACGGTGTTGAACTGGATTTTTGGAGGAAAACCATTCATCTATATCATCAATTCCAGCAAAGTTATGTTGATGATTTTCATAATTAGCCTTTTTTTGATACTTGTAGCATGAAATTAATGCTAAAACATTTCTGCTTATTTTTCTAACAGCGAGAATATCACACGAAACTATGATTAGAGCTGCACAAATTTGTTTTTCAACTTGTTGTTCATATGTTTGATCTAAAGTTATACCATTCCATAGTAATTCTAGTTCATTAACAACTAGCACTAAGTAATAAATTATTCTGTGAAGACTTACTTCATTAGGCCCATGTAAAAGACCAATAATTAATAAATTTTCTCATTTAAATCTAATATTCCTTGGAAGATTACATATTGTAACATATAATGTCCCAGTGCTATATATCATTTGATCATATGGCTGAAACCAGTCAAGGTTTACAATCAAGCCAAGATGTGAATTAGCCACTTCTGGTCAAAAAAATCCAAGTGAATTTTCTTTATTAGTTTCCTTAAAATTTCGCCAAACTTAACCATCATATGTTAGTCAAATGATGGTCAAATATTTTTCTATTTACTCAATGCTTTAAAGATTTTTCAAAACCAGATCACCGGAACATTATAGCAAGTTGTTGTCAAATTCCAGAAAATGAGAATATCAATTTTGGTTTAATTGTAATTTTATTGTTTAATAACACCGTTTTCTGAGATAGAGGAGTATCACATAAATTAGTTTTATGTTTTGCTGAATTAGGAAACTCTATATATTTATATGTTATTATAGAAAGTTCTTTATTTTCACAGAATTTGGTCACTTCTTCCTGATTATATAGTTTATGACATTTTGAACATACAACAAAGCCATAAAACTCATCTTTTAGTCTAAGTGTATTCTCTGCCAAATAGATAAAACCAGAAAATATATCAAAATTAGAACCACCGATTTCTATTAATAGCAATTTTATAAATTTTAATAGCGATTTTATAGCAGTTTCTGGAAGATTATATATTATGCAAAATTTCATTATCCATAATAATATCCATATAAATTGAGTATTATATTGTATATCATTCTGATAGTGAGGTTGGTCAAAATGAAGACATGAATAATCTTCAAAATATTCTGAAGATTCATTTACTGATTCTTGAGAAGCTTCAGATAATGCATCAGAAAATTCATCAGGTTTTGAATCCTCTATGTCTTCGATATATTCTATAGCATCTACATCATCTACATTTTCTAGTTTGTCACCAACATTTGAAGGTTCTGCAGAACAATTTGCATATCATTTTGTACGTTGCCTGGGTTAAAAGATAAATTCATTTTAATCTTCATTTTGATCCTCATTTTGATCTCGTAAACCAGTAACATTTTGCTGAATTTCAGTTGATTGTGAAGCTTCAAAAGATATTTTTATTTCGTTTTGCAAATATATTGGTAAAGGTTCATGTGCTGAATCCTCTGAATGATCATATGATATTTCATGAAGCATTTGTGTATTATAATGCACCAGTTTTCTATTACAATTCAGGCAATTGCATACGACCATCCTTCTAATATTGCTGTTATGAGAGGTTGTATTAGAAGTCAAGTCATTAATAATACTGGATACAGTTCTTCTATATAAAGATGATGCTTGATTAGATTGTTTTGAAATTGAATCCTCCCCATCACTACTAATGATACTTTAAATCGTCCTTTTTCGTACCATTTTAGAAGACTTAGTTTTTTTTTAAGGTGCATATAACAGTTAAGGCAAATTAAAAATAAAACAGGAATTATATTTGTGTCAAGATGATATATTTAAGCTGGTAATATTTTTGTTTAATACATAATTTATCTGATAAAAGCATAGCTTTAGCATATTTTCAAATAGAAAATTTTAACAATAATTATTAAAATCAGTCATCATTTTCTAATTTCCTTTTTCAAAGATATATGTAATATAATGATGTATAATTTTTATACACATGATTATAATAAATAATCATGCAAAAATTAGATGAAGCATGCTAGCTTTTCTATTTGCAGTTGGCATGCTGTAAGAAAACTTGCGAAAAGTTGAGTAGAACTTGAACAATAAATTAGTTCATTATCTATAAATATCTTTTGTTGGTAATTAAACTACATTAGCAATATTTACAAAAAAAAAAAATTCACAAAATACTTACTACAATAGTAAATATGAAGCAAAAGTTACGCCATAAAACCCAGCCATTATTTGCTAAAATTCAATCCAGAACTAATCAACATGTGCCATCTCAACATCTTCATGCCAAATCTGAAGAAACTAAAATTTAGTCGCGATTCCATCAATATTCTCAGGAAGAAAAGATCAATGAGGGTCATGATACACAATCATCTAGAATTCGATCCAACCAACGTTTACAACATTCTCAAGAAGAAGAGGTTGATGAGGATTATGATGCAAATTCATCTAAAATATTATCACGATCTAATCAATATTTGTTATTAAATTTTTTCTATTTTTTTTAATTTTTTTGCATTTACAAAAGAATGAATTATTATATTTGTAAACATATAGCAACTACTTCTACTGGTTCTATAAATTTCGCTAAAATGCGTGAAAAATATGGCAATATATGGCTTCTATCTCGATATCAAGTTAATAATGAAGATGAACCAGAGAGTAATACTTCCTTCATCCTATTACAAACTAGTGCTGACGATGATTTATTATTAAGTTTAGATATATATTTTATATTTAATTTTACTACTATTTGTGCTAAAAATATAATTTTTTACACAATTTATAGAGAACGAAAGATTAAAAAAGCAAGTGTCTGATTTGCATGAAAAATATTCGCAGTTAGAAGTAATTTCCAAGGAAGTGGAGTATTTGAGAGAAGAAAATAAATTTCTAGCAACTGTAAACTCTGAGTTCAACAATAAAAATAATACATTAACAAAGGAGAATAAAGAATTGATAAGTAAATTCGAAAGATTCCAAAAATATCAGTTACCTGATAATAATTTAGATGGTGTTAGCATCGGTTCTGATGAGGATAAATGGTTGCCTAAACATTGAAAGCTAAATAAAAAATTAATGAAATCTAAAAGAAAAGGGTGTGTATTGTATAAAGATAATGAAAAAGAATTATCAACAGAAGACAGTTTGGAATCGGTAGATAAAACAAAAGCAAGAGTTCATAAATTTTATTGATATATGTTGTATAATTTCTTTTTCTGATTTTTTTGTTCTTTAAATTTTAGTTTGAAATGAAATCAATATTAAAAACTGTTAATAAACTATATCTGCAATTTGATTATGATGAGACATTCACTAGTAAGAAAAATATAGAGATGCGAAACCAGCTAATTCCAGAATTAAGAAAAGCAATGGCTCCAAATTATTATCCCTCAGTCAGTCAATTAATGAACTAGTTAGGTTCTCTTTATAAGTCTCGTCGAACATGATTGAAATTAAAAAAAAGTGGGAAAATTAATGAGGATAATCGAAGAGTTCATTATAATAACTGAATAAATAATGTATGTGTTTTTCAAGTAAAACATTGCTCAAAATTAGTATTATATATTTAATTTTTTTTAAAAAAGAGCATGCAGATTAAAGGCTGCTTTAGATCTTTATAATAACAATAATCCACAAGTGATAAAATACTAAAAATGATTATTACTTAATATGCTAGCTGATAGTTTGTATTATTCATTTGAAATCAGTAAGATTAAAGATGAGAACTTGAACAATACCATAATTTGCATTCAGATAAAGTTCGATATTTTATATTTTTTTTGATTTATTTTTTTTGTAAATTCCAGTTAGTTTATATATATCATATTATCAGCTAAAAGAATTATTACGGAATGTTCTCGATATATATTCAACTAAAATCCAAATAGCACAACTACAACGAGATCGATACTATGATAACAAGGAGCAAATTTTTGCCTGTCCATGGTCAGAAAATGCTCCAGAATAGTCTTATAAAGAACAAGATAATTCATCTTATGACACTGATATTGAAAGAAATTTGGAAGAACAAGAGCATGATGTGGCAATATTAACTAATAAAGAAACTAGTGAAGAAGGAACACCCAATTGTGAAACTCTTTGAGATAGTTGACTCTCTAAAATAGTGTGTTTTTTTTATACTATTGTGTATAACAATCTTTATTTATAGAGTAGACCTTTGTGTTAAATACAGAATTATAAACTTATTAAAAGTATGCATTTATAATAAGTTTCATAATATACATGGGGTTTTATTAAAATATAATAATAAATACTGCTGTTAGTTTACAATATTTACTCTGTGACTTCACTATGTAACCTATTTTATATGTGAGTAATGCTTTGTAATATTTTTATGCATTTGACTTCCATGCTTAATTTTTCTGTATAAATAATTCAATGGGTGAAGATAAATAACTTCTATATTATTTATCAATATAGTTAGACAAAATCAATTAATTGGTTTTCATAAACCAGTTATATCAAATAATTGGGTGGGCTTTTAAAATTTTTTTAAAAAATTTTTATAGATGAAATTTAAAAAAGCCGGCTGGGTCTATTAGTTTTATACTATGAAAACTAAGACATTTAATTTGTATGGTCTTAAAAACTTTTTCATAAATAGTTATTACTACAAATGCCTTTTAATTAATCAATTATATTCGTGTAAATTTAGTGGATAAGTAGAAAAAAATATTAATCAATACATTTATAATATGTTACTCAAGCTTGTAACATTTATCTTTACCTAATATTTCTCATTTGTGTATGTTAATTTTCATATTACACGATAACGTGATTCTGTATATTTGTACAACTATGCTTTTAAATATAAGTGTTGCTAAAAGGAAAACCTAACAATTTAAATATGACTTATATTTAAATTTTCAGGTTTTCTTTTAGCGATACTTATATATTCATTACACTTTTTTTTTTATACCAGTTTTATTTATTTTTAGAGTTGTTACGTGTTTAACTTTATAAGATTAACTTGACCGTTTGTAAGAAAATTAAAAAGGCTCTTCGAGTTAATTTTCAAGTTTAAACAGTTTTAGTTGAACTCTTGAGGAACAGAGCTCAACAGTCATATATAACATTTGCTTTGGACAACTTGGATGAAGATCAACTTTAGAGACCTAATTGTAGATAAATTCTCAAGCTTTGTTGTATTTAATATTATTCTCTTATTTTTTTTTTTAGTTTATTCATAATTCTGTATCTCATATTTTTAATGCTTTCAAATAATGATCAATTACTTTGTTACTTTAATCTAATTCATTATTGTTACCAAATTCTTAAATTTTTATTTTTCTATTTTTTCTATTTTCGAATATTTCATTTAACAATATATTAGTTTATCAAAAGGATCCTTCTAGTCATCATTTGGTCACAAACTGCCATGTTTAACTGTCTAACTTCTAATTCACAGATTTTATTATTAATAGGCATTCTCAAACTTCACTCTTAATGGACGTCACTTGATCATTGACTATTACGTTTAGCTGTTTAATATTTTATCCTGACTTGATTGTTAATAGGCATTCTTAAGCATCACTCTCAATGAACATAAAAAAAGAATTTGATTTGCCTGATCAAGCTGGGTTTTTCACTAGTACCGGTTCTTAATAGTGATATTAATATGGTTTGGTTTCAGATTTGTATAAGTTACTTAATTATCTTTTTTTCTTGACTGGCTTTGCATTTCTTGCTCATATTAGAACACATTTTTATTAACGGTTTTTTTTGTCTATTCTAAGTTTGAATTTTCTGTTTCTATAGGTATTCACTTTATAATTATTTATATTTTTCTGTTAAATCCTAAATCAGATACTGTATTTTCACGTAATAATGCATACCTGTGCGTTATTTTGAGTACCTGTGTGTTATTTTAGAACACATATGTGCGATATTTCAGATTAATATTGCCAATAATTTAATAGACATGTGTGTTATACTTATATTTATTGTGCAAACTCTTAGAGAAGTGTGTTATTTTGGGACACACATGTGTGTTATTTTGAGTCAAATAGGCGATTTTTAAAAAAGTGTCAATTTCGAAATAATACATATATGCATTATTATATGCAAATATAGTAAATATCCTTTATTCTGAGCTCATGTTTGCAATTATACTGTTGAGTTTGTTATATTAATATAAAGGTTCATTATATCTAGAGTCGACTGTACCTTGCTATAAACTTCTCAAGTTTGAAGCCGCTATTCTAGAATCTTGGTCTAATTATATAAATACTCTTCGATCATAATTATTTTACCTTTATGGAATTCAGCGGCATTTTTTAAGAATTTAATCAGCAATGGTTTTGTCTTTAAAGAGTGTTAAGTTTTTTTAATTTTTTTTATCATTTTGCAATTCATATTAATAATAGGTTTTCGAAATTCTATCCTTTGAGTATCACGAAGCAGAAATTTTGAATGTGTTATGGATGCTTCTAAATTCTGACTTTAAGGTATTATTAATGCTAGTCGTTAGAATTAAAATTTGGTTTTCTATATTTTCGAATTAGATATTAATGAATCTTAACTATCTATATTTTAATTGAATTATTGATACATGATGTGTGTATCTTCAAAAAATTAAAACTGATGATCAAATTAATATAGCTTATTCTGAAATTAATAATGTCGAATCCTATTTATCCTGGGCAAACTTACCAAGTAAGTTACCATTACAATTAATTCTAGTTCAATTCATAATTAAAATAAGAATTTTGGTTCGAATAACCGATGGTGATGATCACTGATATGGATTTTTTTTTTGTTTATTCTGTCTTTCTTTAGTTTGTAATATTAATACTTTTATTTGCTTTTTTTTTAGGTTCTTTGTTGTACAGTAATGCATCTTCTTTTGTTGCTGGTGTCATCATTGGTGTTCCAGTTAGTATATTTTTTTTCATTGCCGGTGTCATCCTAGTGTCATTGTCAGTGTCGTCCAGTCAGTGTATTTTCTTTCGTCGCTGGTGTCAGAATTTCTTCTTGTGATGCGATTTCTTATGCCATTTGTGTTGTCCAATTCTGAATCTTGCATGTAATTGATGTTTCTTTTGTTTCAGTAGAAATGATATTTTTTTCGCGTTGGCTATTGTTGCTGGTGGTATTTCTTCAACCATCTTTTGTCATTGAGCAGTGTATTTGTTTTTTTGATGATTATAATCAGTCTAAAATGGTTCAGTGACATACCTGGCTTGGATTGTGAATATGAGCTAAGTATTTTTTTCCTTTTGTCTCTTTTTGTTCTTATTCTAACATTAATCCTTTTTTTCATTAAGTAGAGAGTAGATCTGATCATTTTCAACAATTATTAGAGAAGCATGCAGCTAAAATTTAATATAGGCTGAAACATGTATTTAAATTACACCTTTGTGAAACTAGAGATGGTTTACTACTGATGTATTTTATAAATATGTGATAAGCAAGCAAATATTAATGAGTGTTATAAAGCTAAAACATGCAAGTCTTATTAGATAAAATTTATATGTTTTAGCTTTATGATACTAAAATCAATTTATATAAGGTAATTTAATACTTTTTGATTATTTTTTCATAATTCAGTAAATATTATAATTTAATCATATTTTAATATTAGTTTTTTACAATTTTATGCATACTTGAATATGCTTTTGATCAAATATAGAAACTGATTTTGTTATAATTATATTACATACATTTAGATCATACAACTAACTAATTAAACTAATTGTTCGATATTAATTGAATTATAGATACATTTATTTTTTTTAAATATAGACCTATAGTTCTAGTAGTGATTGATCGAAAATATTGAAATAAGTGTTTTGCTCTGGATATTCGAGTTCGAGTATTTATTAGTAATATTATACATACATCTATCTAGTATAACGAATTATTTGGTAATACAATAATTATTTGATGTGATCATATAATTGCTAATATAATTATATAATACTACTAGTTATAGTTACAAAATTTATTATTAGTATAAGTAACTAATAGATATTATATAATATAAAATTAATATTATATAAAATTTTTATTATTTAACTATATAATATAAATAAAATTAAAATAAATTAATAAAATTATTGAAATTTTGCTGATTTTTAGTTTTATTTTAATTGATTTTTAATTAAATATAGTAAATTTTAATTCCGAATGATAATTGTTTTTATATTTAATTTATTTTTGAATGATAATTGATTTTAGTATTTAAATTATTCTGATTTTTAGTTAATTTTTATTCTAATTTATTTCTGATTTTTATATGAAAGTTTAATCAAGTGGCAGTTGAATGACAACAAATTAGAAATAGATTTTAGAACAAAAAATAACTAGATTTCAACTGCCATTTAGATTAAAATTAGTTAGTTGATTTTTATCTAAAATGGATCATTTTGACTAGTGAAGATATGCCATGGGTGAGTTTATTTTTTGATCAGAACATTATAGATTTAGATTTCTTTATATATCGATATAAGAATAAAAGTCTGTTCTTGTAATAAAATAAACAGAATTGCTGAAGGAAAAAAAAGTTGTAGAGCTATCAAAATATATTTAATAGTAGTAAAAACATTAAAATCAGCTTAGTAGTTTTTGAAAAATCTTTAAAAAACATTTTGTTAATATATAAAATTTTTTTAAAAAAATTAATTTTTTTAAAAAAATTTTATATATGTTAATAAAATATTTTTTAAAAATTTTTTAAAAACTATCAGACTGATTTTAATGTTTTTAACACTATTAAATATATCTTAATAAGCTTTTTATAACTTTTATTAGAAGCCCAAAAGTGATTTATTTAATAAAAAAAGGTTTTATATAGAAGCACTCTATATTTATATTTATAGTAAAATTTACTTATAAAAATTTGCAGATTCTCTTTGGTTGACTGGTGAATTACCAATTAAATTATAAATTTTGATAACTTTTTTAATTTTAATTATAATTTTTATTGGCTAATCAACATATATTAGTTTTTATATAATTAAAATTTATTAAAAAAATTGTTTATTAATTGTATAATAATCAGATAATTAGAAGTGTGATGACTTAGTGAAGTTGGTAAGTTATCACACCCCCAAGCGGCAGAACAAGAGTTCAAATTCCACT